AGAGGGCGGGCCACACGCGCGCCTCGTCGTTGTCGATGAGGCACTTGACCTCGAGCTCGTCCTCAACAAACTTCTTGAGGGAGTCGAAGTCGCGGCCGCCGCTGTAGTCGGTGCCCTTGGGCGCCTCGGCCGTGAAGTACTTTATCGTCGGATACCTGGGCGGCGGGCCGCGGCGGTGGCGGCGGTGCGGGGCTGGGCGGCGGCGGAAAGCACGCGGTGGCGGCGCACCCCCGGACCTCGTACGTCTCGCACAGGTCCTTGGCGGAGGCGGTGCAGTCCGCGTCGCCTGGTTGCGCCGGGCGCGTCATGAAAACAATGAGGAGAGCGCGGTGGCAGAGTTTGGCGATGTGTCGTGTGTGTCACACCGATGACAACCGAGCTTGAGGAGGAGTACTCGTCGCCGAGCTGGTCCCAAGCCGGTTTCATCGACTTACAATGCCCTCACCAAGGCGCGAGGAACCTGTCGCACAGCGGTGGGGTGAGTCCTGGGCGAACGGTGGCGGAGACGGGGCGGCGCGCGAGCACACTTGACAAAGGCGTTCTTTCCGGATTTGGTGACCAGGTCGTCGAAGTTGGAACCCGTGAGCTCGACGGCCCCAGCAGACGCGCCGGAGATTAGCCCGAGAAGCGCGGTGGCGCGCAACATATGGGGTGCGATGACGTGTGCGGCCAGTGCGGTCAGTGCGAGAAAAAATTCTTGGGTCGCCGACTGCACTCCAAGAATTTGGTGAGAAACTGCGGAGAGAGAGGAAGTGGTAGACGCCCGAGGGTGGGCGACGGCTAGCACTCACTCTTCTCCCCTAAAATCCCTGTGTGGTGGCGGCGTACCGGCGTACCGTCCTCCCATCCCTCCCTTAAAGTCTCTGTTTTCTTTCTTTTTCTTACTGCACTCCAAGTGCTCCAGAGCTCCTTGTCTTACTCGTTTGGGTACATTCTTTTTTCCGTTTTTCTTTTTTAAAAGAAAACCGTGGGATAGGAAGAGGCAGACGCCCAAGGATGGGCGACCTACAAGCTCACGCCTCACGAGACACGGGTGCGCCCTGCCGGGGGGCGAGGGAACCCGAGTGCCGAGATGCTGCTTGCTCTGGGGCGAGGCCTCGCATCGACGAGACAGCGAGCGCACAGTTCCCACAGCAGGCTGGAGATACCTCGCCAAGACAATGGGACATGCGAACGACGTACCCAAACAGCATGCATCGGCTTTCTACAGGCCTGAGACCAGCAACGTGCACAGCCGAGTGAGGAACTACGAGATTGCAACCGTGGTAAAGAACCCGCTCGCAGCTCAGTCGATCAGGTCCTTCGCCTTGAGGTCATCGAGGATCATCAGGCTGGTCACCGAGAGGTCGGCGCGTGGGCAGTCCGAGGCGATCCAGCGCAGCTCCTCCACCTGTTGGTAAGTCGAGGCGTGCGAGGGCGCTGGGCTGTGAGCACCAGCCGTGCGAGGGCGCTGTGAGCGGCGACCTCATCGTTCGCAGCCAGCGTTCCATCATACTCGGCCGTGAAGCATGTCATCCTCACCATCGTGCCTTCCGGCTTGCCGTGGGCCTGCGCCTGAAATACGCCGTACGGCTCGATGGTGCCGTCGATCAGCTCGACGCTCAGCTCCTCACGGCACTCTCGCCTCAGCGCTGCCTCGTCGCTCTCGCCGGCCTCGCGCTTGCCTCCCGGCGTAAAGAACGCGGTTTTGCCTCGCGAGCGCGCGACGAGCTGCTTGCGATCGCGCACTAGCACGAGGGCTAACTTGTCGA